CTTCCAGAAGGGGAAAGGAGACAAGAGACAATACAGTCCTCAAGGGGAGCGTGGGAAGCAAGAGGTTCAGGGTAGCCACTCCCTAGAATCTCCCAGGGTATATCCACTAGTTGCAGGAGTATAGATTTAGTTTGGCAAGATTCTGTCTATAAGGTGTAAGCAAATAAAGGAACTGTATTGGACTGGACTGTTTCACCATTGTTCTTGGGCTGGGCCTGACAAAAAAGGATTTTAAAACCATTTTATTTCATCTTTTCTCTCTATATAAGCAAGGTGGTTAATTAAAAATAGATTTTGTTTATGTCTTGTCCATATGCTGCTGTGATTTAGTCTTTATTATATTTATTTCTTCACAGCTTCCTTTAGGACTGCTGCCATTAAACCTCCCTCAATGCTTATGGTTTTTGTTAAAACATTATTACAATCTCCTTTTGCTAATGCAACATTTTCTCAATATTTAAGACAAGTAATCTGGAAAAAGCAAGCTGTTTTTGCACTAAGCTGCCATAGATTGTTGTTTTTTTTAAAAGATCTGGATTTTTTATTACAGCCAGTCCCTGGGTCTATGCTATCTTTGTAAAAGGGCTTGATATTCACTGACTCCTCTATTCATGAGAGATAAGACATTTTACTTGTTTTTCTTGAAATCGGGCTGAAGTTTAGCTTAGTGATAACTGCCAGGATTACAGCTCAAACTAATTAAGCTAAAGCCAACTGTAGGAGTTCCATATTAGTCAATAATGTATCTATGAGGTGCTGAAATGAAATACTCCAAGGAGTGACAGGTTGTTCTTCTGCTGAAGGAATCAACTGGCATTACAAAAACTAAGAGGGACCTGATTTATAAGAACAAGCTATGGATTCTATGTCCCTGAACTGTATATGTGCCATGAAGCTGTAATGTCATCCATAATGGGCTTTGTCAACAGTCTCCCTTCCTGTGCCATAATAGTAAAAGAAGGGTGCATGTGATAAATTTGGAAAGAGATCTAGTGCTACCAATGAAACAGATATCTTTTTGTATTACATGCATGTACATTGCATCTGCCTTTCCTCTTTATTTCATAGTTGTCATTCAGAACCAGATAGCTTTGGAAAACCTCCTGACCAGTTCCTTGTATAAGTGCTGTCATGCCAGAGCTTGATATTCTTGCAGCTGCTATCAAGTCACTTTTTGATTTGTAAAAGACAATCCTGCAGGGGAGGGCCTGAAATAATTTTAGAAGGATAACCACTCATAATGGATTTGTTTCCTTGTTCTGTACCTGCCTCTCTTTTGATGATTGATGAAGACTGAAAGTCCACAAATGTGCAAAATGTATGTGGAGTTCTTGCCGCTCTCGGAGCTTGGTTGTTTGCTTGCAGACGTTTCATTGCCCAACTAGGTAACATCATCAGTGTGGTGATCAGTAATATCAGACTCACAGTGATGATGTTGCCTAGTTGGACAATGAAACGTCTGCAAACAGACAACCAAGCTCATGGCAGCAAGAACTCCACAGTTCAGCCCTGAGCCACAGATCCTTTCTTCTATTGGAAAAACACACACACACACACACACACACACACACACATATATATATATATATGGTACTTTCTCCTCCCCACAGAGGACATTTGTCTCTCACAGAAACAGATCTATCAACAGCTCCTTTATAGACCTGGTTTGCACATCATCTAAGACTTGATTTGTTTAAACATGGTTTATTGAAATGACTGACTTATGTAACATGCTGCACCAAAAGCTGTGGTTTATAAACCACAATGGTTGGGGCACATTGCACAGCAAACTGAACCAAAAACAAGCCGTGTGAGAACAGAGCCGTGATGTGTCTTTTCATGTTAACTGTGTTATCTCAGACAACAATACTATACTCACTTAACTGAGAATTAGCTCCATTGAACTCACTAGTAGTATCTTCTGTGCAGGCACAGAGATCATTAGCCTGTAAAATGCTTTCTGAAACCCGGTGATTTATGTTGCTTTGTTGCAAGCACACTGAAGCCAAGGAGCCTCCAAAGAGCTGCCTTGTGGCCCTTTATGTTTGGGGTGTTGCTTATAAGTTTGCTTTGCTGCAGCACTCTGGGGACATGAGAATAAGCAGATCCAATGCTTGGACACTCAGTTTTGGAAAGAAAGGTGGAAATCACAGTGGAAGAGAGGTTAAAGGAGGAGTCAGCCTGCTGCTCTCTGTACAGGAAAATGCAGACAATTCACCATCTTGACTATATTAGAATGAGTTCTTCATAGTGCCCAACTCTGAATGGACCTAAATTAATCAATGGAGAATAGGTAATGCATACATTGTGTTAGGTCTGTTATAGACAATATTTACTGCCTGTTTTCACAAAGGCAATGGATTCTACAGGGTAAAATGCTCATAAGTGATTCTCAGATCGTAGTCTTTAGACAATCACTGCTCAGCTTCCCCACATTCATTGGCTGAACTTGTTCCTGACCAGCTGACTGTTGGTGCACACTGGAAGGTAAGACTTGTTGGAAGCATCATCCCCATCCACCAAATTGTTTTTAATGGTGTAGAGATCACCTGGTGTCCTACTTTCCATTTCTATTCTGCTGCTGTTGCAAAAGTAAGAGGGCCTAGGCTAGAATACCAAAGGCCGCTCCCTTTGGGACTGTCCATGCTAATTATTCACAGTATTGTTTCCAGTGGCTCTGGAAAGTTCAGTGCCTTTGATATATAGAGGAATAATGTAAATTCTTGCCTTTTGCTCCTGCCTCTCTCCTCGTAGCTTTGCCTGCCTTTCATTCTGTTTTTGCCAGTGAACTGTTTTTCAGTGTTTAGTAAATAAACGTCAAGCTATATATTTTGCTAGCTGAACTGAGCGGCGTGTGGGCTTGCTGCGATCTGGATAGGACTGATGGACTGTGCTGGGTGCAAACTAAACTGGAAATGACCCCAGTAATTTCCCAGGAGGACTGAGGTAGCAAATGGACTCTAGCCAGCTGCTGTCTGTGCACGTGCCTCAGCCCCTTCCCTCCACTGCACTGACCCTCAGCTGGCCAGGCGAGAGTCCACTTCCTGCCTCTGTGGTAAATAAGTACTCTACTTTATCATCTTTGGTCCAAAACTTAGTTTCTAAGGGCCTTTTAAAAGGGAATGCATAGGAAGCATGCACCAATGGAGCTATAATCATTATTTTATTCTCCAAAAACATCACTAGAAAGTCAAAATCATGGGAGGCAGTATTTAATTTGGTGATCCTCACATTTTCTGAATCTAAAAAGTGGCCCATCCTTCAGAAAGCTTGCTAAGCACTGCTTTATATTTTAAGCAAAATTTTTGTAAGGTTCATTGACTGGGAGATTCGAAAATATCCCCTATCCAGTGTGCTTTTGTATATGTTCAGAAATGGAAGAAATCAAGATGGTTGCACACGTGCTTGTACAATGCAAGATGGAGGTGTTTCCCATTAAACAAGCAAGACCAAAGTCTCTAGGAAGGTGGATAAATTCTATGCCATAGCAATGGTGGGTCTGAACATGATATGGGCATGCTTACCTCTCACTGTGAATAAGCTTTTTAGCCCAGATATTTTGTATTTTCTTTCCTTTTTTTTTTTGGTCTATAATTATAAATCTTTAATTAAAAAAAACAAGAGGGTTTAACCCTGCTTTGTTGTTCTTTTGATAAAGGACATAGTTGGCCTGCACAAAGAATATTTTGAAGATCATCTCTCTTTGCCCTACAGAGAAAGCACTTGAATTGCTTTACAAACACAGCATACTGAAATTCTTGAACCGCTTCTGAGACCAGGACGATTCTTTTAGTAGCCATGCGAGCCTGTACCTGCAGGTGTCCAGTCCCAAGTCCCTCTGGACGATGTGGCTGCCTGTATAACCATCCTCCTTCCCAGCCACACACCGTGCTATGTGATGCTAATAATGCCATAGCAACTAATTTTATTTAGGGCTAAGCACCGAAGTGCAGTTATTTATGAATATACACCACTGATTTTAAGAGTGTATAGTCTTGCATGGTGTGATGGCTAGACAAGATGAACAGCAGGGAATCACACCCACCCACTCATTAAACTCTTACTTCCAGCATCTTGAAATGTTCTGAATAGCTTATAGCTTCTTGATCTATGAGATGCATCTGCATGTTCAGGAATGTTTGTGACACTTCACATAGAATCAGGAGCCTGGTAGCACCTTTTTCACCTAACAAATTTTATTAAAAGGTATTTAATAAAATTTGATAGTTGGAAAAGGTGCTACCAAACTCCTGGTTTTTTACTACCATAAACTAACATGATTCTGTTCCTAACAATGCACACATAAAGAGAAGTCTTGATATTTAGGTCTTCAAGATCTCCACTGAGGGTTTTTTTTTCATCTGCATTACTACTTATTTAAGTCCAGTGAGCTAATTAAGCAGGGCACTGCAGAGATTTTGAAAATGGTTCTCTTCTCCCAAAATGTTTCCACATGAATTATTTCCAGTGGTCAGGATGTTTTCTTGGTGGTGGATGGTGGGGTGGAAAGCAGTGTCGCTTTCTGCTATAAAAGTAATTAGCAGCTGCTCACTCCTTTGGTGAAAGCAAAGCCAAAGTATATTTCTATGTCTTCTGATGAACAGGATATTGCAAAATACTGAAAACTGGCATGACCAAAGCCTTATTGTTTTATATAGTGTTCTTATACTTCTCAGCATTTTCCCTAGATTTATGACATCTAAACTTTAACAGGTATATGACCGATAGATATGGAATTGTTATTTCTATAAAGGGAAAAAAACCTGTAATTACAGACTTCTGTGTGCTAAGGGGATAATTTGGAAAGAAGGCTAAAAAACAATACGGCAAATCCCTTGTAGTCAATGTGCTGTTCCTTATTCCTGACTCAAATTAGGCATTTTGATTTTGCTGCCACACTAACAGGGAATGAATGCCTAGAGTCTGATTCTTTCAGCTGCTGGAGACCAAGAATTCACATATGAATTCTGAAAAATAAAGAGTTTACTAATCATTGGAAAATGGAACATGTGCGTGCATGTATGTGAAGTCCCTTGGAGTTATTTTCCTTCAGGCAATATGGCATTTGCAAATTGTCAAACAGATGCCACCTCAACCAATCTGTTCCTAATGAAGGAATGGGTTACTGAATGCCTCCCCTTCCCTTTATCATCTTCTCCAATGGAGAGCACTTCCTAACATTTTCCAGCTGGAGACTGGATCTAAGTGTGAAAGCCACTTCCGCTGCAGTTTCGTTACTGTGATTAGGAACAAATGCCAGTAGGACAGAAACTTAAAAGAAGCATCTGGGATAATCATATTAATAAAATCAAAGCTGGCCTCAATGCTTTTTTTTCCACTAGAGAAGGAGATTGGCTGCATTCAAAATACAAAACTAAAACAGATTTCTTAAAGCATCATTTGTTGAACAAGCTATAGCAGCAGAGTTTGCATATAATGCACAGCTATAATGGGTTAGTTCACACCTCATGTTAAACCAAACCATATTATGGCTTAATGTTATGAGTGAATAGGTGAATTGGATAATATGAAGCCTCAGTGAAAAAAAGCCTCTAGACACTTATTTTTCATGAAATTCACTAAATATGCACAGAGGGGTTCTAAAGTAGTGAAGCCATTTAATAGTTTTGATAGGAAGCCAACTTCGCTCACATGCACCATTTTTCTTTAAACTTTATTGTTTTTTGTGGCATAAAAATGGTTTTGCATCTCCATTAAGCATGTAGGCCAGACAATGTGGATCAGCGGGCACTGTAATTGCTTGAATTTGGCTTTATCTTTTGGGCATGACTTTTCTTTAAACTTGGTTAGTTTTGCTATTCAAAATTCATCTGTCCTTTCCAATAACTATTGCTTATCAACTCTATCCTCATAGTAAGCTGATGAGGTAGGTTGCTGTATGCCAATGGTATAAAAAAGAGGAGAGAGACAGAGGTGCTAAGGCAGCCAAAGGAAATCAGTGGATAGAGATACAAGTGTATGCATGTGTGTGTTTATGACAGCGAGACCAACAGACAGACAGCTATTATGGTTGGATAGGGATGGGCCTCTAGAGTCTTACCTTTTTTCAGGGAAGAAGACAAGCAACTGAGAGATTTTTAGTGCTGTCTTTAAACACAATAATAAGAACCTTTGATACTTAAAGCATGTCGTATCAGATTCAACTGAACTCACCACTGTAGGCATCAAGTGCTTCTAATATTATTAGTTAGACAATGAAAATTAGAAAAAGCTGGCAGGAAGACAATGATCTTGCTCAAAAGAAGGCAGTCTCTGTCACTCATCTTCTGCATGCACACGCACAAACACACACACACACACACACACACACAGGCTTTGGGGCCCTGTACGCTGCTCAAGCAATCCACATTCTCCTCATTCTGAGGATCTGATCCATTCCCAAAGGATCAGATCCTGCAGTATATTCATGCTGTTCTTGCAGTGATGTCCTCAGCCCTAGGAAGAAGGTACCGGCAAGCCACTTCCAAAAATGTTGCCAAGAAAACTGCTGGGACTTGTCCCCGGAGTCAGGGTTGACTCGATGGCCCATACACCCAAAAGTAGATACAGTTCCAGCTCTCAACATCAGGGTGCACAGTTCATTGGTATTTTCACCCTGGCTGATGACTCTTTGGGAAACTGAAGCAGGGTGGGGGGGAAGAATATTTCTTCAGTCAGATGCTGGCTCATTTTTCTCATCAGATACTGCTCAGCTTTACAAGAAAAATCAACATCCCTGGAAGTAAAAACTCTTAAAATTTTGGGCCTTCTCAAATCTGTCAGCACAACCTCCTCTGTTAAACATCAGTTCCCCCAAGTGTCTGTTGAACCTCCCCTGAAAGGGTCATCCAGTGCCTGCACAGCATGCCAAGAGCACAGCTCCAGTTAGCCAGGCTGGTGCCACCAAAAAGTCCCTCCTTAAGAAGCAGTCTCCTTATAATCAGGAACTTGCAAGAAGAGGACAGAGTAGGGAGGTAGTTAGGCTGAAAGAGGAACATGGCCATCACTGTCCCCACTCCAGCTAGTGACCCAGTCTTTCTTGGTGATGGTGCCTGTCTTCTCCTCATGAAAAAGCTGGCGCTCCTGGCGGGGAATCTTGACAGCATGGTACTGGGGTATCTTGGCTTTCTCATAGTGGGCACGTTTGAAGAAACCAAGCTGGAAGAGAGGAAGCCATTATGTGAATTCAGTAAAGTTAGCACTGCCCCCAATTACCACATGAATGCTAGAACAAAGGGGTTCTTGAGTCCTGCAGCTAAGCCATAAACTGCATCCATCAACTGCCGTAGGTCAACTCCAGCACCTGTTCTTTATCTAGTGGGATGGAAACACTCAATGCACACCATGCATCTAGAACATAGAGCTTTTGGGACCCTCTAGATGTGTTGGACTTCAACCATCACAAACCTCTGTTAACATCTGAAAAAAATCTGAGAACAGAAGTCCAATGCACTGGAGGGGGGAAGTGGGTGTGTTATTTTTCACACTGAGAAAAATAAACAGATGAATACTGTCCTGCCTTCAAACAACGGCAAGCTTCCAGCCACCTATGTCAAAAGAATGAGAGGAAATGAGCAAAAGTTTTACTCCCCTAAATTGTCTATATATAGGCGCCTCATCTAAAAATAGAGTACTCAGTGGAATTCTTGCATTCTAACCTTAATCTATCTTCTAATATTATTATTGAGAGTTCATAATTTTTTTAATCAGATGTCCAGTCAGGACTGCAAAGAAAGGAGTGTGATTGTAGGGGGTGACGGTGGCAGGGTGATCTATTATCAAGCACTCAGTACAGACAGGAGGATTCATTTACCTTAGACTTACCCTTTTGCAATCATTCCCCTCCTGTGTGTTATCCTAGCACACAACTAGATGCTGAATCCTATCTTCCAGTTTTAGTATTTTAGTGTAAACGTCATTAATAACTAAAAAAGAATTATGGGGCAGTGTAATTCTTTCCTGCCCAACGGACTCCTGCAGCCCTTATGAAAAATCAGCCAGATCAAAGGTACATCTCTTTACAGATGATGGGAAGAATGCAGATAGAGCTGGACTAGACAAAAATCAAGTTGTTGCTCCCATCCACTGGAAACATTTGGAAGTATCCTTATATACTGTAAATGTTCCTAAGCACTTTTCATGTTCTTTCTCACCCATGCAACAACTCAAGATTGGAGGGGCCTTGGGCAAGATGCCACCAGGAGGCCCTGTACCCATTAGGTTAATACAGTTCTTCCTTGCTACTGTTTACGGCTACCCATTTGTGCTTGCCTTTTGGTCCCATTCAGAAGACAAGGTGGAAAGAGGCTGTACCACCTTCCTGGCCTCTGCTCACTTGCTTCAGGTAGGCAGGTGAAGAAGTAGAAACAGTAAGGTGAAGGAGCAGCTACTGTAGCAGGATGCTTCAGTGGATAGGGCCCTGTTCCAGCTGAAGCCCCATCCACTAGTCCTACTCCACCCATCTATCCAGCCCAAGAAGTACATTCTCCAGTGTGACCTGGTGATCAAACATTGGAGTAGTAACTAATGTTCTTCATGCTTTACAGGTATGCCTTTCATGCCCCCAAATAGATTCCGAATTATGTTGTGTGTGCACACACTTTGCCAATGCCTTTAAGTTTCTAGGCTTTGCTAACTGTTTGTAATGCCCTTAACAATCCATGTGTTATTGTGTTACATTCAATATTGAATTACATTGTGTTACACAATGTAACACAACTGTGAGTTACAGTTGTGTGACATTTAATATTCTTGCATCCCACAGAGCAATAGCACATGCAGACAAGAATCGTAATTCCTCATATCTGTTAGGATCTGCCAAGTCCTGCAGACATGCTTCCATAGATGCTTGGGGACGCAGACAATGGAACTGCTGTTTGTGAACACATGCACTAGTATTCTTAGGTTTCTTACAGGAACAGCATTCCATTACTTGCTATTTCTCTGTCATCTGTGCTCTCACACACTCCAATACACATTCAGGGAGAGGGTCAGTTAGGTAGGTGAGACCAGGCATTACCACTAGGCCTCCATGGCCTGCCTGTCTGCATCAGATGGCTGTATCGCCAGCCGGGCCCGATAATAGTTTGTGGAATATTTGGAGACTTGGCTGGTCCTCTTGAAGAAGCCACACTGGGAATTGGGAGAAGTAGCAATAGTATTATCAGACTTGCTAAGGTTCTGCTCCTTAAAGATGAAGTCTTCTTTCCTTAAATGCCTATCAGAGTCCATGGATGCATTCAAGCAGATACTATCTCCCCACCAAGCTCCAAAATGAAGTTTTCACATGCCCATCAGCAGATACTTATTTCCCCAAATGTGAATCCTAGCAGATACACTGCAATTGTTTTGGATGGAGGTGATCTCAGGGACATTTCAGCTATAAAGAATGGCCTCTAGGGAATGTTACAGTAGAAATAATCACCATGAAATTGAAGATATTATTAGACAACAATTATGGTTGCCTGGGGATACAGTACAACTTGGAACCATCTTCTTGACTGAAGTGATATAAAAGTACTTGAAACGCATACATGCATGTATGTATGTAACATTTGCCTCAGTATCAAGGCTGGCAGAAGGACCAGAGGCAAAGCAATACCATCCCAGCCATCACAGGCCCTTTTTTCTGGCCATCTCACCTTCCATAAGATGGAGACTAGCAGGCCCAGTACTAGGATTCCAGCCAGTACAGCAATGAGGATGATCCACCAGGGCACACCTTGTGTCAAGGCCACAGCAGGATCCAAGTAGACAGTCACTGGGATCTGGGGAAAAGAAAATTGCAGAAAGTGAGAGAGCAAACCTGAAATGTGCAAGAGGGGGTACAGGTTATACTGCTGTTAATGAAATAGCCATTACTGTTTCTGCCCTGCTTTTCATACAAAATCTCATAGCTCATTGAAGAGGTTGATCTGGCCACCTTCACTTTTGGCCTCGTAGCCACCGTCTTGGTCTCTTAATGGGTACCACTGACCTGTAAAGCCTCCTCTAATATCTGGCACTTAATGATTCCAGTAATATCCCCCTCCTCCCTAACTTAGGGAGATGGTTTACAGTAGATGGTCCAGGAAGGAAGGAAATGGACATCTTAAAGTTTTTGTGGCTTGGTGCCCTCCAGATGTGTGATATTTCAGCTCCTACATTCATTCTCCAGTCAGCATATCATTTTGCCCTATTAGTTGGAAATTATCAAAATTGAAGTCCAAGACATTTGGAGGACAACAGGTTGGGTGAGATGATCCTAAAACACTGCAAAATATTTTATACTGTACAAGGAACACATAAAGGGAAATGAGTTGTGAGGCTGCAAGACCTGTGTTGTGGCATCTTTTAGGACCAGGTTGCGGATGGTGGCGCTCACTGTGATGTTGGCACGAACCATCACCTCCACTGATGTCATATGAGCAAAATCCTATGAGCAAAAGGAGACCGGG